TATCAGTTGCTGAAAAGTGTATCGTTCTCCTCGTATTATGTGCCCCAAGTATGCAGTCTTCTTACTTTTTACATAATTAAAAAGTTCCCTATCCTGTAAGCCCGCTCTTCTGAGTACTTCCTCATTTCTGACCCTGTCCGTCCATGATATTCTGAGCATTCGACGCAGGCACCACATTTCAAACACTTCAAGTTTGTTAATGGAACTGGCCTTTAACGTCCATGCTTCCATTCCGTACAGGAGAACAGGCCACACGTAACACTTAAGCATCTTGTATCGGAGGTTGAAGTCCAATTTGCGATCAGTCAGAAACTTACGAAGCCTCAAAAAAGCATTTCTGGCTTGTTCAACTCTGCTCTTTATTTCATTCTCGGGGTCCCAACCCTCATTCAGCAAACATCCCAAGTATTTGAATTGCCTGACTTGTTCGATTTCTTCTCCAGAGACATATATCTTTGCGTTGGGGTAATCATTTCTACTTATAATCATTGATTTTGTCTTCTTGATATTTATTTTCAAACCCCGAGCTTCACTTGCAAGAGTTAGATCATTTAAAAGGCATTGAAGATCTTCGATGTTATCTGCCACTATGGCTGTATCATCGGCATACCTGATGTTATTAATAAATATGCCGTTAACTTTAATACCCTTATTAGAGTCTTCCACTGCTTCTGCGAAGGCTTTTTCTACGTATAAATTGAACAGCATTGGGGACAGTATACAACCTTGCCTTACTCCTTTTTTAATGGAGAAATCTTCTGTTTCGTTGGAATTTTGAAGACGTACTGTTGCTGTCTGATTCCAATACAGATTGGCGATGATTCTTATATCCTTTGCATCCAATCCCAACTCTTGTAGGTATTTTATCATCAATTCGTGTTTTACATTATCGAATGCTTTCTCGTAATCGATGAAACAGATAAAAACATCCTTTCTTTGATCTAAACAATTCTGTATCAATGTTTGCATACTAAAGATCGCTTCTCTCGTGCCAAGTCCATTTTTGAAACCAAACTGACTCCATCCACTGACCTCTTCACATTTCTTAAACAATCTAGTGTGAAGTATTCTCAGGAAAAGTTTTAAAAAGTGACTCATTAGGCTTATTAGTCGGTGGTCCTTGCAGAAGTTCGCACGTGGTGTTTTTGGTAGGGCGATAAATGTAGATCGAAGCCAATCTTTTGGAATCTGGCCCGTATCGTAGATGTCGTTAAAGAGCTTGACAATAATGTCTAGGTTTTCTTCATTAAGTAACTTGATTGTTTCTGCGTACATATCATCTGGTCCTGGGGTTTTGTTACTTTTTAATAGTTTGATAGCGTGTACAATTTCAGCTTTCAAAATACTTGGGCCATACAAATGGTCTCCCAGTTGTGGTGGTTTTTTGTGTTCTGTCATCATTGAACAAATTGGCTGTGTACATTTTCCAAGTATTAAGTATATCGCTAGGGTCCGTTATTAATTCATTTTGGTCATTATGTATACCAGTGACTTGTTTTTTCTTGAAGACACCAGCAATTTCCTTAATTTTCTTGTGAAGATTGAAGCTGTCGCCGAGTTTATATAGGCTTTCAGCCTCGGCGCAAAGTGTAGTCATCCAGATCTCCTTCGCCGCTATAATTTCTTTACGAATTTGACTGTGTATATTTCGGTACCCTACTTCGTCCTGCCTGATCTTACACTGCCTGCGTTGTTCCATCATCTCTAATATTTCTTCTGTCATCCACTCATTCTTGGTAGTTGTTTTACTCTCGAGTAGAAAAGTGTTGTTCAACTCATCAAATGATTCTTTTATGGTGGTCCATGACTTTTCAACATCATTCTCAGTTGCCATATTAGAGAACCTATTGTTTATTTCCTCTGTGTACGCTTCATTTGTTTCATTGTTTTTGAGTTTTCTAATGTTTACTGATGCCTTCTGGTGTTTTCTTTTAGCTGTAGCGAGCCTCAGTTTGATATTTGCTACTAAGGGATTGTGGTCGGATCCTATGTCTGCTCCAGGTAATGCAGATACCTTAGTAATAGCATTCCTGTACCTTCTATTAATTGTCACATAATCTATTTGGTTCCTTATAATGCCCTGATGTCCGTCTAAAGGCGACTTCCATGTGTAAAGCCTACTGGGTGGTAACTTATACCAAGTATTCGTTATGACTAGATCTTTGTCTTGACAGTACTGTATCAATCTGTCCCCTCTGTCGTTTCTCTGACCAAGACCATATTTTCCAACTACGTGATCTACAGCTCCTTCCCCAATTTTTGCGTTAAAGTCTCCTAATACGATATTAATTTCGTGATTCTTAGTCACCTTTAAGGCTTCGTCTAGCTGTTGATAAAATCGCTCTAGTTCTTCTTTTGGCTTGTCTGCTGTAGGGGCGTAGACTTGTATAATATTTATGTTAACTTTTCCATGCAACTGAATAAGTATGACTCTTTCGGAGATCGGGACAAAGTTCTTCACGGAGGCGCGCAAATTTTCGCTTATCAGAACTCCCACCCCATGTCTGTGGTGAGGGTCTGTGCTATCACTGCATGAGTAGTAAAGGGTTTTACCAGTAGTATTGATCATGCCTGTGCCTTCCCATCGCAATTCGCTTATGCCGAGAATATCGATGTTAATTCTGTTCATTTCCTGAATTAGATTTTGTAGTTTGCCTGCTGCAAATAAGCTTCTGACATTCCACGTAGCAATTTTGATTATCTTATCAAGTTGAAACCGGGAGATTCTGTTATCAAGAAACATTAAAATTCGTCGTTGTCAGTATGTTTTACTGTTTGTTATCATTGTTACTAGACTAGAAAATTGTTTAAAATTTGTTAGGGTCAAATGATTAAAGTATGTTATTCACGCAGTTGGCTGTTATATTCTCTTGATTTAAAACACTTTAATATATCAGTCACAATAATAGCATGTATTATGGATTATCAATGTATTTTGTGGTAAAATGGATATATGGTTCATTGGTTATAATATAAAGTAATAGTAAGATGTATTTGACAGGAGTCTATTGAAAACAACAGCAGACCACCAGATAGACGCTGTAGCCAGCGGCGGATCCAGTATTGTTAAGAGAGAGGCCCATCGGCAAAATTTCTAAATGATAATAATAATAATAACACACGTAATGAACTGGTGGAAAACAAAAATACATCTCTACATCGGTTCAATATAACAAAGAGAAACAGAAGAAATACACATAAGAAGGGGAATATTCCAAGGAGATTTGTTAAGTGCGCTATGATTCTGCATGTGCCTCAACCCACTTGCACAAACACTTAACAAAATGGATATGCAATAAAACACAGAGCAAAAACACTAACAAAAGCGGAACTACAATCAGAAACAGAAAAACTACAAGACCAGGTTATAGCAACCAAAAATTAAATGAAACATATCTTAAAAGACCCTAATATACTAAACAGCAAATGGAGAAGATGTCACCAATTTCCAGAGAAATTGTACACATCACTGGCTGATGCAAACTCCTAGCTAGTACAGACTATACCGATAGGCATAATATAACAGCTAAAGTAATCCACCAAGAAATAGCACTAAAACACAATATCATCACAGAATACACTACATATTACAAATATCAACCGCAAAAAATATTGGAAAAAAACACGTTAAACTGTACTGGGATATTACATTACATACAGGTAGATCGGTTGGACACAACAGACTAGATTATAAGACTTATATTAAAAGGAAAGACAGTTATTTCTCGTTTAGTGCGTCTGTATATCCGCTTATACGTATTTCATCATAAAAGGAATCTTCGGAGCGTCTATTTACAGACAAACTGAACGTGAAAACAATATTTCCTGTCGTAATAGAAGCAACACTAAAATGGCTTCGATATGGACGCAATAGCGACATCTGATAATAATGATGGTTTTGACAATTAGTTTCGGGATTTTCTTTCTTATATTAAACTTTACAAATAAACGGCAGATATCAAGCACAGTTTTTTATTAAATCTTGCCTAAGTACTTTCGCTTTCAAACCATCTTCAGATACTTTAGAAAAAACTATAGAAAAACTCTGCTATAGAAAAACCCTTAGAACAGTTTTTGTGTGTTGTGTGCCAAAACGAGCTATCCAACCAGAAAAAATGTTCCGGCTACGGTATTTGCTTCTTGATTGGGCATTGGAAGAGCTTACGGTCAAGGCGTGAAACGGTCGACACATGTTAAATAGTATCTCTTTTCTTCAGAAATCGGCATCACTATAATGTCTATGTGAACATTTTCGTATCGGCTGTAAGGTGGTAGGAAACTTTCAGTCAGCGAAACAATGTCAAACAAGTCAGTAGGCACCTGAAATCAAAAGTTCCCTTCCTATCAGCTAAACCTTTAAACTCAGCAGGTAACGAACTTCCTAATGAATCAACTTCTATAATATATTGCAGATAGCAGCCTCCAATAGCCAAAAACGCTGATCTAAGAACAGTTGCTATAGAAAAAAACCCTTAGAACATCTATGCAGAATTATCGCCTTTTAAGTAATAAATGTCAGCTGACTACCTTCCCATCCTAGCATAAAAATTCACCATCATAACACAACGACTGTTTACAAATTCCCTAATTCAGACTACCGTAACAAACAAAAGGGAGCAGCCATTCCTATAAGAGGTGAAAGCCTAAACGAGGTCGTCATAATCCAGACCATATGTGCTACCCATTTGGTATTTTAAATTTAAAGTCTCTAGGACTTTTCCTTCAAGTGTTGTAGGACAGACAACGACAAAATTTCAAGAAACGCCTGTTGGGTCATTAAAAAATAAGATATATTGTGTTAAATGACACATAATGAAATGGATAGATAGAAATATTTATTTGCCATTTATCGTTTTATATTTGAATTTTTACAATACCTTTTGACCTTAAAGCAGAAACGTTAAGAAACATTAAATTTCTGTCAATTGTGGCAACATTGAATTTCTCTAAATATTCCATACGAGACTTTAAACCTAATTTGTAAATTATTGTTTTAGAAGATGATCAAGTAAACCAATCCGAATATTGGAATAGTAATTCTAAAATAATTTCTGAAGAAGAAAATACGGAAAATGCTATTAGCACTAATAAAGGTAAGGCTATTCTAAAAGATACACTGTTATGGACTAAATTTTATCGTATAGTAGAAGAATGCAGTATACTTTCGAACTATAGATTGATGTCAAACGCAGACCATTATTATTGAGATTATGCTGACGCATATACATACTTGTTGCTTATCAAGAAAAAAATATGTACTTAATTTTTTTCTGATATGAGATTAATATTAAGTATATTGTATTATCCTTTATTTCCGTAATTTGCATTTTCCTCATTTTAATTAAAATATTATTGTATTCGGTGGTACTACGTAATCAAATAATATAAAGTGTGGTGGAATAAGTGTTCCCCCGCTCTTATAATTTATCTCTCTCTAGAATCATCAAAATACTGGCACATGTTGATTTTTAAAATAAATTATGCTATGACATAAAAGTTTTGATATTGGAATCATTTTACAGAAACTCAATTTTTTTTAAATTAGAAAGAATGCTGATGTTGATGACCATCATGGCAATCTGTATCTGTTGAACCACGTACGTAGATTCTTCCGACAGGAAATCCTTCGCCGTTCCTCTTGATGTGCCGAGGTATTCAATTTTGGATGTTTTTATTGCGGTTAACAGCTCTTTTTCTTTTTCCATCCTTAATAAAACGTCCTTATTAGTAACGAGGTCGATATAAGATATCTTTAGGAAACTCCGTATGATAGTATAGAAAAGATATAACATTGTAGTAACCTGATTTTTGTTGTATTTTTATTGGGTATTGATCAATCATGACATTTGAATAGCTGAGACATTTTTTGAAATGTAGATCTAGCTTTCTCTACCCTACCTTTGATTTCTAGGGAATCAGTTCGTACCAAGATAGGTATGGTATCTCTTCGTTGACCGTTCACACTGATTCGTCCAAATTACTGATGCATCATCACACATTTTGTTTTCTTAATGGTTAGTGTATTAATTAAGTTCTTAATGTATTCTCAGAATATATGTTGAATAGCAGGGGATGATAGTATACATCCCTGTCGGACCCCACGTTTGATTTTAATATCATCGGATGATTTCGCCTTTGTACGGATACACGATGTTTGATTCCATGGTTGATGCTGATCATAAAGATCGTTAATGTTTTGGTTACAAAATTTACGATTTCTGAGTTATAGGAAAAAGTTTTTCTACATATATAGACAGAAGTCATCGAGTACCGAACATTTAAGGAATTTTTTAAATAAAAAACGCTCTCAATTATGTACCTGATTAACAGATACACATAACCAGACTCTAAATACTTTAAGTATAGTAGTTACTAAGGAGCAGTTACTACTGAGCTATCTGTCGGTCAGATAGCTCAGCGGGCTGTGCGGCTGCCTCTCATTCGCTTCACTGTCGAATGGTTCAGTGGATGTGGGATCGAGCCCCAGCTCGGTGTAAAGAAAACAAAAAGTCTAACGCAGCAGTTTAAAATTCTAGATGAATCTGCGGCTTAGACTGGGATATGCTGGGATCTGATCGGCCTATGGTGGAGCAGTACGGCAAGACATAAGAGCTTGCGGCTCGGTGATACTCCTCCATAGATCCCTACCAGACGGGCGTAACGCCTAAAAAACCGGATATATATATATATATATATATAATATATATATATATATATATATATATATATATATATATTGTAGTTTTGAGTTTCTTGAACCGTAATTATATTTAATATAAAATTAATGTTTCTTGGGTTTAGGTTCAATAAAAATATGTTACATGTGGAACTAGATTTTATTTTCTATTGCAATCAATCAACGTTTCGGCAGGAAACCCTTGCCTTCGTCAAGATTCAAAACGTAAAACGTGACACAGGCATTAACGAACAGAGTTCCTTCATAACAGATCCTTAGTAACTATATATATATATATATATATATATATATATATATATATATTATATATATATATATATATATAGTTACTAAGGATCAACCTATATAACGAACAATATTTTGAAAAAGATTTTACTAATTTTTGACAAAACAAAATTAGTACGTACCTGAGTTATGTTACTTACTGCATTGTTGAGAATATGACGGGTAGCTCTTTTAGTCTCGAAGAATCAGTAAAACACAGGTTTAATTTAAATAAAAATGTATTTAAAATAAAAGATATATCCTATAAGATAATATGTACAATTTAAATGCCAATCCTAGCTTCGACGGTATCGACAGCACGATGAGCCATTGCTTAATACCTGTGAAAAATAAAATATAATTAGTTTCATAAAAATCTAATCCAAAATACGATGATCTGGGGTAGAGTTGGAGCGATCGATCAACACTCGATCCGGCAAGGAGCAGGAAGCGTCTAATTAACACTTAGCCACAGAACGGGAATGTCTCAGATCAACACTAAGACCGATCCGAAGCTTCCACTAGATCTACACTCTAGCAGAAGCGGTTGACTTCATGTCAACTCCCTAGGGCTTGTAGAGTTGTTCCCAAATCAACATTGATAGAACTCGATTATGTCGTGCGACGTCGCTTGTTTTATACCATTGCCTGTCTTTCACCTGCCTGTCTTCTTTTAAGCAACACTTACATATAACTACAGCTAAAGTAGAAAATTTATCAGTTGGCAAACACTTCTTAGGGAACCAATACAGGTAAAATCAGGCAAGCCCTCTTGAATTAGTCTATTCAACAGCCAACAGTCACCATACTAACGTTGTACCATAAAGAGTACGCCAACTCAATGGCTTCCAATGTTGAGCAATATGGCACGACCCAAAACAAGACGGTTGACTGCCCTTAAAGATCAGTACCATAAATGTCAAAAATATCGATCACGTCCATAAATATCAACAAGACGGTTAACTGCCCTTAAAGATCAGTACCATAAATGTCAAAAATATCGATCACGTCCATAAATATCAACATCGATCAGCTAAAGTAGGGCAAACAGAAATCTGGAAACCCACAACAATAACAACTAATAATCTTTCAAACAATTTCACAGTCAATGACATTCTTCATCTTCTTCTTCACTGGTTTTACAACTCCAGGTGAGTCTTCGCCATATCCACTATCGCCCTCCATCCTCTACGATCTTGCGCTTCTATTTCCCATTGTACCCCCATTCTAGATAAATCGGCTTCAACATCATCCTTCCATCTTTTTCTCGGCCTACTGATTGTCTACCATCTGGTCTTTCAAAAAACACTGTCTTTAACAATCTATCATCCTCTGATCATACCATGTGACCTGCCGATCTTATTCGGTTTACCATCAATGACATAGGATAGGTGAATGAAATAAAGAAGTGAACAACACACATCTAACAGAAAATCCCACAGTCAAACAAAGCGGTTTCTCTCTTTCGCACCGAGAATGGTGTAATCTGGACCGATTCAGAGTAGGTCATCGAGTATGTAATAAATCACTTAACTAACAAGGCATTGCAGGGAACCACTGGGAACAGGGGACAGTTCATTTATACATGGTGACGGCGCGAACATTTCCCACAGTGAGATTTTGTTTCGAGGGTGGACAGGTCGATCTTTTCTTTATAAGAGGTCTCATGTAGAAGGTAACCGTAAGGCGTCATATCTTTTATTGAGACAATTTGGCCTGTTTTCAATTTCTATGACTCTGGCTTTATATAGGATCGGGGATAGTCTGCATAAGGAATTTCATAAACTCCGTGTTGTTCATTTGGAATGTTGTCTTTAATTGATCGGACAAGAGATGAAAGTTTTTGTTAAGGGGTAAATAGTGTTTTAATTCCTGTTGATTTAAGAATTTTGTCGATTTTGTTAGTGAAACCCTTGATATAAGAAAGAAAAGCTTTCGTATGATAAGGGTCTGAGTCTTTTTCATTGAGATTGAGTGGGAAATTGATGTCTCTGGATGCTCCTTTGAGTAGCGGATAGATACACTTATACGATCCCAGTGTAAGTCAGATCTATTTTAGGGACGCGACCCTGCTCACGCAAGCCATGGCTATCTTGGCTAGCCCAGTTCTGTCAAGAACATGACATGATAATCGCAAATACATGGTTCAAATTACACAAAAGAAGGTTATGCACATGGAGGACACCAGGAGATAATTCACTACATATGATTAGAAATCAGATAGACTATATTCTGGTAAACAAGAGATTTAAGAATGGCGTCACCAGAGTAACGACATATCCTGGTGCAGATATTGGTTCAGACCATTATCCTGTAATAACTGACATCAAAGTGAAGCTCAAAAAAGTCCAAGAAAGCCCCAAAACACCAAAATTAAATATCCAATAAAGCGTTAATAGAAAATGACTTAAACAATGAGCTAAAGAAATCAATAAATGAAAACAACACAGAAATATCGAACACATTTAAAGATCTTACCTTGAAAGTAATAGAAAAATATTCAACAACGTTACACAGGCACCAAAAACAACAATGGATGACTGATGAAATCCTGGAATTAATGGAGCAGAGAAGGAAACTGAAAGGTAACAAGACAGAATATAAGGAAAAACAGAAACTAATTATACAAAAAATAAAGGTGGCTAAAGAAAAATGAATGGAGGATAAATGCAAGGAATTAGAAAAGTTGAATGAAAAACATGATACGTTTAATATGTTTAAAAAAGTTAGACTGGTCTTTACCATAAGAAAACTCCACATACTATAACCGATTCGTCGGGAAAAATGATAATAGACGAACATGAAATTCGAACAACCTGGTGTAATTATATAAGTGAACTATATAATGATGATAGACCTGAAGAACCGGAGACTTTAGTTGAAGGTGAAGGACCAGAAATACTAAAATCAGAAATATTGCATGCTATAAAGTTAGCAAAGAACAAGAAAGTCGTTGGCCCTGATAACATACCGACAGAGATGTTAAAGCTTATAAATGAGGAGAACATTGGAATACTGGTCAAACTTTTCAATGATGTTTATTCGACTGGTGATATCCCTGAATATTGGTTAAAGTCCGAATTCATAACACTACCAAAAAAACAACGTCCGAAAAAGTGTAGCGATTATAGA